GACATCGTATCTGCCCGTTTATCTTTAAGAATGTATGTTTTGATGCCCCTGTGCGAAGCAAAAAAATCAAACGTACTTAACACCTAAAGAAATGAAGTTGGACATATACCGTAGAGGATTTAAACCTAATCATTGGTATTGAACTTCACATGATGAATGTGAACCAAAAGTTTAGCAAAATCATGCAGGAGCCTCATCAAGTTATGCCCCACCAATTGTTCACGATTCTGGCATGTATGAACAAATGATTGATGATACAAGCAGACTCATTTTGTTTGAATTGTGCCTAATGATAACCAGAAACCGAACAGTGAAGCACAACAATGCTATAAACTATTAGATGCCGCTCAACAACCATTGTGGGAAGGATGCACTTCACACAAAGAGTTAACAGTCGCCCTAACAATGTTGAGTATCAAATCCATTTTTAACATGCATTGGGAATGCTTCAATCAGCATTAACAAGGCAATCTATGAATCATTTAGTGAACAGAAAAAAAAGCCAACTTGTACGGTTCGTTTGTAATGAATTAAAAACTAAAAATATTTTTGCACCATATACAAGAGCAAAGATTGGACGAGCAGGAAACAAAGGTGACAATCAACATTTGATTCAAATAAATGGCTAGATAACACGATGAATAAAATTTTTAACCAGTAAAATTTTGCATGTCCTTTTATTGCATGTAATAAATCTACAAAAGTATGCTTTGAAAGTATCAGCTTTGGGAGCAGATCTTGGAGCTTGAGCAAATAAATTGTCAAAGAAGCCAACTAGATATGCACTATATGTGCTTCTGATAATTATTTCTCTCTCTCTCTTATTTCTTATTTACACATTTAATGTCTAAACAGACATTTTTTCTAAACAGTCATTTTTACATGCATACTATTAAATCCTTAATATCACATCAAAAATATCACATCACTATCTTTAAAGCGAAATTCACCTTTTAATGACATGATGTATTAGTGTAAATATTAAACTTTGGGTGCAAAAAATATAAATACATAAGAATTGTTTAGTGTGTTTGTAAAATTCTATCATCATCATCATCATCATCATCATCATCA